TTCCCAGCGTCGCCCGGCAACGGGCCCTTGCCCGCTGCACCCCCTCGCTGCCTCCCCTCTGGCAACGGCCAGTCTGCTGTCCGCCTCTGGGTGTTTTGTTTATTTTTTTGGAGTTGTTTGTTTGTTGTTTTTAGGTTTTAGTATTCCACATGAGTGAAAGGTATTTGACTTTTACTGTCTAACTTACTTCCGTTAGCATGATGCCCTAAAGGTCTGTGCATGTGGTTGAAAATCATGAGACTTCACCACTTTTTTAAATCAATGACTAGCATTCCATTGTGTGACATACAGGACCTTCCTTCTCCTTTCATCCGCTGACGGGCATTTGATTGTTTCCATACCCTGGCTCTCGCGAACAATGAACACAGGGGTGCATATATCTGTCCAAATTTCCCTCTTCCCTTTCTTGGAGGATCATTATCCTGCCTTTTCAGTCAACGTTCACTGAACACTTACGTACTAAATGTCCACTCTACTTAATCCTCACTACATTCCCATGAAGAATAAATCAGTATTGTCCACAGTTCTCATTTCAGAATATTGAGGCTTACAGGGTAAGGCCCTCCCGGTCACACAGCCAAGAAGCGGGCAAGCTGGGACTTGAACTGAGCTCTCTACTTCCAGGGCCCAAACCCTCAGCCACTGCACTGCAATAAGCGGGATTAGCTGGTGATGCACCCACAGCTCACTCAGGGTTGTCTGGAAATCTAACTCTTTGGGGCAGGGCGATACCTTTCTCCCAGCTGAAGGGGCTGTGTCCTACCTAGATCAGTTATCCACGGCGCTGGTCACTTCCTTCCTCAGAAGAGGACACGGGAACTTCCCATGGGGGGCTGCTTCCTCAGCCTTGCCCCCCGGGGCCGGCAGAACAACCAGGGAGCTGAAACGCACCCTGCAGCCTCAGCAGAGCCCAGTCCCCGTATGCCTCTCTACGGGATGGTGGCAGGACTGGGGACAGTGCAGCTCCTCTTCTCTTGCTGACTTTTCCTTTCTCTTAGTAACACCTATCTCCTAGCCCGTGCTGGCGGAAGCTGTTCAGTCGGTCTGGTGCGCGATGAATGGAGGCTGAGAGGGAGTCTGCCGAGCAGAGCACAGCCACAGCACATTCAGGATGAACCTTACCCCCTCCTCGGAGGCTGGGCTGCAGTTCCCTTTCTTCAGCGAGTAAGCCCCTGGTTCTCCTTAGGGAAGGGGGGTCCTGGGGCCTCTGAACTGTAGTGGACGTTATCTTTTGGCCCATGAACAATGCACGTCTTTGATACACACCATCAATAGTTAAGACATTCTTTTCACAAATACGCATTTTGATTCTAACGAACACTGTAGGCTTCTCACAGCTAGGGCTGAGGCCCCATACATTTAGCGCCTGTAACAGGCCCACAGGCAACCCTGTGCACGACAGGCATGTGATGCACATTTTCTGGGTGCATGCATGTATACGGGTAAGTATATTTTGTTCTTCGGAAGGCCGCACTTCGTCCCCTCATTAGATATGGTGAGCACCTACTATATGCCAAGCACTGTGTTGGGTGGGCGCCGGGCTGCCAAAGACACCACGCTGGCACAAGGAGCTCATAACGCAGCAGCAGGATGAAGATACGAAGACGTGTTATAACAAAATTAAAGAGTGAGGTGGGGGTGGATCGTGGGGGCTTCATGGGCAGGGGAGGGGAAAGCGGGAAGAAGGAGGAAGGAAGGCACCTCCCCCCCCCGGCCCCCCCCCCCCCGCACCCCGTGGAGCAGCCACAGCCCCGTAGGGCCTCGATGAACGAACCAGGCTACAAAGGGGCAGATGCCTAGAGCGGAATGAGATAAACGCACCGACTCTTTAGTTACTAAGTGAATCCTAATTTAAAAGGAGATGATTCCTATCATTTTTAAAATTACAAAGCTCGCTTAATGACCAAAAGTTCTTTCACCAGTTATTAACCTTGAATTACACACAAAAGGGCAATTTCACTGATTTCATCCTTTGGCAGCAGCCACCTGAGCGGAGAGGAAAGAGCAGCGAAGCCTGCAGACGCCAACAGTTCCTCCTGTCTGATCTTCCTCACCACCCCGCCCCCGCCCTTTTCTCCCTTAAGAGCTAACGCTGAACCTCTGGGAAATATCAGATGGACGCACTTGCTAATGAGGCTTTTTAAACATAACAGTGAACAAAAAAAATTCTTGTTTCTTTGTTTATATGTTAAGTCTAAGGAATGCAGTGCTGGTGTGAATTATCACCAATTGCAGAAATATACTTTTAAAGATTTTCTAAAACTAACATGAAACAAATAAGCTCTTTAATGACAAAAATACTCAAGAAGAAAGCTCCAATTCTGACGGCATTTTCATTTTCATACTTCGTGACGGGAGACCAGATCTGTATTAAGTCATTTTGAGTCTTCAAGTCTAACGGGCAAGGCCAGGCGTGGACACTGCTCACTGAGACTGCGAACAGGGAGAATTTCTCTCACTGTCCTTCTGATGCAGAGCTCTCCCCAATACTCTGGAATTTTCTAAACCCGTATTTCCAAGCAGGTTGTGTTCACACAGGAGTCTCCTGTATGCACAGGTATTTCAGCTCTGTAACAAGCCCTCCCAATTTCTTGGGTTTTTTTTTGGGGGGGGTTGGGGGTTGTGGTTTTTTTTTTTGCCAGGCTGGAAGCCCCGTGTCAACTTTTCCAGGGTATCGTGTCCCCCGTACTTCATGGTGCTCTGCATATAGTAAACATTCAACAAACACCTGCTGAGTGAATCGCTACATGAGTGGAATGCCTCTAGGAAAAAAATTTACCAGGTCTCACGCTAGAACAAATGCATCTAGAAGAAATGCACACTAGAACAAAAGGCAATACGGTAAGATGCAGTCTTTGAGAACTTGCCTGTAATATGTTTAAGAAGGAAAAAAATCTTTATTGGGACATGCTATGCTTTCTACATATCTCAAGGCAGAGCTAATTGCTTTAACGATTCTGCATTATCTATAAATGGTTCTTGCCATTTGAACAGGAATAATATGGCTATTTGACAGTGACTTTCCTACGAAGAAATGTGCTTTCTAGAGCAAGAGTTACCATGAGGAGTTAACTGTCTAGGTTCAGGTGTCTGTATTAAAAATACCCCGTCCTCCCCAAGTGAACTAATTAAAGGCACCGACACCCTAGTACCCTCCACTCTTCTCCCTTCCTTCCTCCCTCTCCCTCTCCCTCTCTCTCTCTCTCTCTCTCTCTCTGAACACCCCTTACAGTACAAAAGAGAAGATGAACAACAATGTCTGGTGAAACACACAACATGCAGATGAGGCAGAAAGGAGCGTCTTTGAATTCGTCACAGTTCATCAGGACAGGAAGGCCCTAAGATGCAGCTTAGGAATGAAGGGAAAATACCAAAGAAGAGCAGGGAGAAGGCCAACACTTTTTAAAGCCCCTGTAGTCACTCAAAATATAGGACCCTTTATGTTTAAAACTCTCAAGTACTGTAACTTTCAACTTATAATTTTTAACCTGGCATCTCTCCTGTTTGTTGAATTCCCAATAGTACCTCCACTCACACCCGCCCGCCCCCAGCCGCTGAGTCATTAGGAAACATTAAAGATTTGAATGGCTACCTCAGGAACAGCAGGGAAAGGGGAGCGAGCAGATCCATGCGTGCCGTCTGCCATTGCCACCGGGGAGTGCTCAGTGGTGGCCACCAGCAATGAGAGGAGGATGAGAACCTGAAGGCGCAAGATGACTGGGCTGGGTGTTCCGAGGCCTAGAACGCTCAGTATAGAGTCACCGCCAGCCGCTGTTCTCTGCCTTCTCGTGTCCCTCTGTTTATACAACCTGGCAAGGAACTGCTGTTCTTTTGTGGTGATTTTGAGCAAAAAGGAAGGTAAGGAAGACACAAATGGAGAAGATCATGAATGGAATCCGCAAATTTATACAAGAAATTTCGGAGACCAGCAGATACAGCCTACCCTGTTATGCCAAAGAGAAAACAAGGCCCAGGGATGGGATGTCTTTGTCAAGACCCTGGAGTGACAGAGCAGAGGCCGAAGTCCACAGTAAACTGCTCCTTTGTAGTCCAGTGTAATCTCTACTACGTTATGATAGTGACTATGACGCAAATGGGAAAAATAAATTCCTAATAGTTAAGTTCCGAAAACGAGGACTTGAACCTGGCTGGGCCTCACTCAGGTCACTGCACCACTAGAAGCCTTGGTTTCCACTCTCAGAAAATGGGGACGGCGCTTGCTGGTTTATAGAGTTATTTTCCAAACACATGTGAACATATAATACAGACTGTCGCATACGAACATCCAAGGCGATGCACCGTCCCTTGGTGTGCCTTCCGCAGCAAGGGAGCACAGCAGTAAGAGGGTCTGTCTTCTCACTTAGCGAGGAGCCGCAGGGCGGGGAGGGCCCCGGGAGCGTACAGCCCCGGCTCCTGCGGCTGCCGCCTGCGGCTCTCTGAGCTCTTCACTCCTCCAGAGCTATTTTATCCTCACGTTATCTTCTCTTAAAATGGCAGAAGAGAGAAAAGCTCTCCTATCTGTGGAATAAAAATCTCTCCGTTCGGTCTGATTAGTCCGGAAAATAATTCAGACTTCTTCTTCTTCACCGGCTGAGCTTCCCTAAGAGCAGCTCAACAAGCACAGGTTAAAAGTGCCCGAGCGCCAGTGCAGTGGCACTAACTGTAGGCGAGTGCACCCCAGGCTGGGAGTGTCTGAGTTCCTCAACACGTATGAAGTCTTATGAGTATCTAGCTGGGTCTATTTTCCATATAAAATATCCATGAATTGCTTAATACCGCGAGACACTCAAAAGTGATTGTGTGTATCTTATCAGTGGGTTTCAGAGTGTGCATCCTTCTACAGAAATCCATGAAACTCTTTACTTCGAGTTTCACTAAATCCATTTCTCTCCTATTTCAGTCTGAGCATTGCAGTCTGGCTCCACAGGTAGCAAATTGAAATCCGTTTTGTGGCCCAGCGCAGACAGATTGAAAAGAATACAACACTAAGAAAGAAGCAAGTGCGCTTGCTTTGACGGCACGTGTACTAAAACTGGAACGACAGAGAGGTTGAGCATGGCCCCTATGCAAGCAGGACATGCAAATCTGGGAAATGTTTGAAAGAAAGAAAGAGAAAGAACAGAGAGAGAAAATGTCATACAGTAAAGCTCTCACCAACAGCAGTAATGATATAGTGAATGACTGAGCGTTTCTTGAACTTCCACCACTGTGAAAGTAACCTATCATTTTCCTGGTTGTGCGCTGAAATGCCTCAATCACAGATGGAACGAGCCAGTAAAAAAATGACACATTTTATTTTTTCCTGCTGTTGTTCTGCGGGAACAGGCTGGAATACTGTAACCCACACCCTTGGAACTCCTGTGTCTCCATAGTATAATTAATTCCTCTCACTCCTCTGTTCATTTTGTAAAACGTCTGATACCCTAGTGGTGATGATGTTTCCTTTTCTTTCCTATGCTTTGGTTGTTCAAACTAAGTCCAGCGTAGTTTGATTTTAAGTTTCGCATGATGTGGCCGCCTGATTTAGGGTTACATATGAGATAGAAAGACAGGAACAACGCGGTCACCGTGTCAGGGGACAACGAGGGCGGCGGCAGTCGGCAGTGGCCGCCCGGCAACACGCTTCTCTGCCCCGACTGCATACTGCAGAGAGCCGCAGTCACAGGGCAGGCCTCGCGTGGTGGCACTGCGCACCTGCAACCGCCAACCTATGTCCTGGCCAGTTTCCACATCCAAGTCACCTGACCTCTGGGCGCGATCCCCACGCTCATGAGCCAAGGCAGCGGCACCGACTCGGGGCTGCCGGCAAGAGGGAAAGCAAACACGGGGAGGCACCTGGAGGATCGGGTGCAGAGGAGAGGAGCGTATCTCTAGGCCTGCCGCAACCCGTGCTGTGAGCCCCAGCATTACCTCTGCTGTTTCTGCTGCGTCCCGCACCTGGTGCTACAGACCGGATGCTGTGTCCCCCAAATTCCTCTGTGGAAATCCTGACAACCCCCAAAGGGATGGTATGAGGGCATGGGGACTAGAGGAGGTAACTAGGTCACAAAGGTAGAGCCCTCTGAGTGGGATTAGTGCCCTTCAAAGACGAGCCACAAAAAGAGACGTTCTCTGTCTTGGCCACGTGAAGATATAGCAAGAAGCTGGTCGCCTGCAAATCACTGGGCACCAATCTGCTGGCACCTGGACTTGGACTTCCAGCCTCCAGACCATGAGGAATAGATTTCTGTTGTTGAAGCTGCCCAGTCTGTGGCATTTTTGTTACAGCAGGCTTAGCGGGCTAGGATTCCAAATGTCTTGTCCCAAATGCCTGATTACTTACCACACGCAATGTTTTATTAAATTCACAAGATTTTTTATGGCTGATACCAATTTGTTAACGTTTCTAGGCAAAGTACTAAGAATCTAAAAGTAAAGGCTCTGCCCATCGGCCACGTGAGGCTGAGAGGATGACGATGACCAAAGCAAGCACAACACCGTCATCTGTCGGCAACGTCAGTGATAACCACATCCACAGTCGTAACGGTAGCACTGCCTCTGACGCACGCAGCACTGACCACGGGCCAGGGCTCGTCTAAGTGCTTCACTCACAAGAGTCCTATCGAGTGGGTTCGACTGCTACCCCAGCGTCCAGACAAGGAAACTGAGACATGAGAGGCTAAGTCATCGGTCCCCGGTTTCATAGCCGGGAAGGGATCCGCAGCCAGGCGACCGGGCCACAGAGCCTCCGGTTCTTCACCACTACACTAAACTCCCTCACCTCCCTAGGAAGGAAACAGAAAACAAATTAACTGACAATTCCATCATAGGAAGTCTTAACAACAAGGCGAAACTCATGCAGGCAGTGAATAATCTCCCAGCTGCGAGTGTGACGCCTGGACAAAGACATACTAAATAGGATTTCGCCCTCTTCTGCGGGGTCCAAGGTAATCAAACTGTAAACTGACGGGAAACAAGGAGTCTATGCAACTCGGCAGGTGACGACTCTCACCTGCGAGGGCAGAGCGGGTGACAGGCCGCCGCCGCTGATCGGTTTGCAGAATGGTTCCCCCCGTAGGGATCCTTGACGTGTGCAGTGGACTCGCCTCCTTTTTATCTTCTTTATTCCTCTTGATGTCATCTCCCGAATTCTCTTCCTTCACAAAACACATAGAGTTCTACAGCACCCCCGCCAACGCCAACCCTGGCAGACACCGCCTGGGCGCACCTGGCTGTCCTTTGCTGTTACACAGACTGCACTGCTGAAGAGGCGGCCGCTGACCAGAACCTCCATTCTGAAGGGGCCCCGTTAAGAACCTTCCTGTTGTTACTGAGGGGAAGCAGTCGCTTGTGCTTCCAGACCAGGCTCAGGCTAAACGTATCAGACGTAACTTCTTGTGAAGATGCAACCAGGCCTAACACTACAACAAGACGGCCCTGACAAGGAGCCACTGGATGACGAGCAAAGGCACAGGTTCCAACACTAGGAAATGCTGATGTCTGATGCAGTTTCTTACTGAGAGTGCGGCCACAGGAGACAGGCCGCAGCGGAGCTGGGGAACGGAGAGGTCAGACAGAACAAGTTTCACCTTTCCTGCCACTTACTAGCTGTGCAATATTGAGCAACTTACTGAGACTCAGTTTCTGCATCTTTAAATTGGAAAATAACGATGATGCCACAGGTTGCCGTGGGACTTCTGAGAGAATATATACAAAGTAGCCAGTGCAGTGCCTACAACAAAACAGAAACTCGGCCCCCCACCAGGATTGAACTTCCACGATGGCAAGGATTCTTGCCCATTTGTTCTCCAGAACTTAGTAAATGCTCAATAAATATTTAATAAATACATGAATAAACATACTGGTTGGCTTTTCCCTTGTAGCAATGCCGATTCAAGTCCATTTCTCTGTCTGAGGGATGCAGAAAGAAGCCCGTTTATGAGGACTGGATAAATGACGGGGTCCTTTCAGTCACCGTGGCCCCCCAGCCAGGCAGAACGCTCGTTCTCGTTCTCTCCCAAACTCAGGATCCAGAGCTCAGGACGAGCTTGAGATGATAGATGCCTCAAACTCCTCATTCATTTTCGTTTACTAAGTCACTTATGAAGAATCCCCTTTTCCTGTATTGACCACACATTCTACATTTTTGCTTTCTTCTAATAGTTCTCCTAATAAATCAGGAGACTCAGTGGCACTCTACTACGACTAATGGGTCTCCAGTCAGAAGTAGGATTTGTCTTGGCTGATCGCTGTTTGGCCCTGCCCCCCAAACTTCTGAGTCTGAGGGCTTTCATTAGGTCTCTCTGGAAGATTTAAAAAAAAAAAAAAAGCACTTTATAAATAACCTAAACTATAAAGCACCATATAAATTTCAGGGATTATTTTTATCATTCCATTATCGAAGTAATCACTCACTGTCACTTAAGATAACCAGAATTTCAAAATTTCTGGCCCTCATATTTGTCAGGAACAAAAAAGATAGCAAGTATTTTTTTTTCATAAATAATCATTTGGGCGTTGAGAAAAAACTAGGTGCATTTCTGTCAATTTACTTTAAAAAATGGAAGCTGTTAATTGAATTAATCAGTATTTAATTGCCAACTTTATTTTTCTTTGTTTCACCTTAACAATGGCTTTTCTTGTCACTGGTATAAGTTGAATGATAAGATTTTACCAGTGAAAGCTTCAATGCAAATCCTTAAAAGCACCTGGCAATTACTTTTGTGAAAAATGAGAGGCTTCCATTTTATACGGGTTAAAAAAAATAAGGAGGAAAAGGGCACTGCATGTGTACACATAATAAGAACTTGGGTTTACCAAAACGAGATAGTCACAGCTCACGGCATGAAAGCAGTCCCCCCCTGTTACGGATTGAACTCGGGGGGTGTGTGTGTGTGTGTGTGTGTGTGTGTGTGTGTGTGTGTGTCCCTGCACCACCCCCACCCCCATGCCCTTCTAACATTCATAGGTTGAAGCCCTTCATTTTCAATGTGATGGGATTTGGATATGGGGCCTTTCCTGGGTAATTAGGTTGACTGAGGTCTGGAGGTGAAGACGCCCGTGATGGCATTAGTGCCCTTGTCAGGGAAAGAGGCATCCAAGTCTCCTCTCTTCAGCATGTGAGGACAAGAAGGCGGCCCTCTGCGAGTGGGAGCTCACCAGAACTCCACCATGCTGGCTGACACCTGATCCTGGGCGTCCAGTCTCCAGACGGTGAGAAATGAACTTCTGCTGGTGAAGCCACCACGTCTATGGTGCCCTGCTATGGAGGCCAGAGCCGACTCCACACGTCCTTCAAAGTCTGTCTCCACAGTCACTGCAACTGGGCCCGGGAGCCTGCACTCGAAGAAACTTCCCTTTTGCGATCTCTGTTGAGAAGCAAATTACTCCAAGGACTCGGCCCCTCCCCTCAGCTTGGCTCCCAGCCCTCCACACGGGAATGCCAGTGACTGGCTAGGGAAGGCAGGCTGCCCTCCAGTTTGGCGACCCACAACTGGGAGGTGGCTGGCTTCTCCTCTCCGACCTGAGAAGGAATAAGCACGGACTGGCAATTTTTGTAGTCTTCATCCCTACTTTAAATTTAAAAAATGTTGCTACTGTCAGCAAACAAAGAAAAATAACTTAGGCAATTTTGGGGCAGATAGTCTTTGTGCCCACATACGTTTAGCGAGCTGTCTTTTTTCCCGCCTTTTCCTTTTTAGTTTCTGTAGCAAAGAAGTGGTGCTCACTAAAGAGGCTGTGAAATGACCTACGATCCAGTCCCACTTCACCACTCTCGAGATCCCGAGAGCTCACGCCGGGCAGACACACGGGGGACACCCACATCTTGCCCTGCGCCCTCCAATTGCTTTGCTTTCATTTTGGGGGAGGCAGCAAAATCATACTCCAGAAACCAAGTGTGTCTTTGCCAGCAATTTATTTAGCACAGGTTTGCTGTGGGAGTTTTTAACAATTTCGCAAACCAACAGCATACAGGATAATATCTCTTAATAAGCCAAATAAAGAAGTAACATACTCCCCAAAATGACAGATTGAACACACAGTTCTTCTAGGTAAGGGGAGATAAAGGAATAAAGTCCAAATTTAATATGAGATGCACTTTTTTTACAGAAGGAGGCACTCCAAAGA